TACTATAATATATTCCATGGATATTTACTCAGTTTTTAATTTTAATTTTTCAAATGAATGCATTTTATTTCATCAATACTCATATCTTCCATATATGCTAATCACACTAAATATGTCATTAGCTTTTTTATATTTAGTAGTTTGAACAAATGCTTAAATGTTTATTTCTTTTCCTGGTCAAGAGTGGAATTTCTCGTTTAGTATCCGGTTTTAAAATGAAGACATGACTTAACCGTTGTTGCTATTCAACTAATGGAGAAGACCTTATTCATACATTTTTCATAACATATGAACCCGATGTTTTCATTTTTAAAATCGGATACTAAACAAAAATTCACCTTGAAAACTAAGTAAACATTAAAGACTTTGAAAAATGTTAATTACACTCCTCTAATATTCCTTTTAACATGTTTTTATTAATTATTAGTTAAATGTATTAAAAGCTACAAAACTAAAAACCACACTATATAGTTTCAAATAAATTTAAACCGATAGGAAAGAATGTGTCAGAAAAGTATATTAAAAGAATATTTTCTATTTATTTACTTTATATGCATTTTTAGTCCACAAGTATTAATATTGTACAACTTTGGCCACTCACATTCTAATTAGAATCCAAATGACTTAACATCACACAATCACGAGACTTTGGAAGATGGTCTAAAATGTAATTGGACATTCTTTGTGTATTATATATGTTTATTTTGTTTGAATATGATTTTTTGTGTATTACATTTTCACAACTATAGTCGATGTCATTAACTTAGATTTTTCGCTTGCCATAAAAATTTCTTCACAAAATTTTCAATTGTAAAAGTTTGACTAATTTAACTTACAATGTTTCAAATAAACACTTATATCGTAGTTAATGGTAGTTTCCAAACATTTTATCATTCAAAACGATGGAAAATTGTGCATCATAATTTTTGCTTTTCAAAGAGTTGAAAATCAAGAAGACAAATGCAAACATAATAGAATAATGTTTGTAGCAAATTAAAAGTGGACTGACTTTTGTTTCTCCAATAAGAAAAAAAAAATCAATTTTCAAAAACATAATCTAATATTTGGTAGAAACAGAAAAGGTTCATACCATGTGCAACATGGATACACAATTAAGATGTTTCTAGAATGTCGTTGTATTAAATTTTGACTTACAACCACTTAATGTCTATTCTCATTATGTTAATAATAAATTACATTTTTTTCTCTTTTTTTCCTTTTGGATTTCAACTCATACCTCTCAGTTTTTAACACCTAAAACAATTTCTTAATTATAAGAATATAACAGTGAAACTCCTTATAAATTGTTATACTTACCTCATTAATCTTTTAGAAAATGTTTTCATAAGAATGTGATGAAAAGGTTAAAAACCAAGATATTATGTACAATCGAGAAAAATTTTAAGCCTTTATTCACTTGAATGGATTTGAAGAAGAGTAATTGAATAAATTTGAAGGTAAATTTTTTTGTTGTTTATTTGAGTGAATTTGGAGATAAGTGAGAATTATTTAGAAGTTAATTTTTTTTAATCGGTCACATCAATCAAATCCTACACTAATTCATACCAATTTTACTTCTAAATCTACTTTCACTTACCTTCAAATTCACTTAAATAAACAAAAAAAAATTACTTTTAAATCTTGTCAAATTCATTCAATTACTTTCTTCTAAATCCATTCAAATAAACAAAACCTAAAAAATCATTAAAGCTATGAACCTAAAAAATCATTAAAGCTATGACAAATATTTAGAAAGACGACATACATTTGTAATGATTATTGAATTATGTTTGGTTTTTCTTTCTGCAATTGTTTTCCTCATAGTTTTGTTTCTGGCTATCTTAGAAACATGACTTTAAAACACTTTCCACGACCCTCTTGAAATCAATCTCTTAAAAATCGAAACTTGAATTATTTTATTATCTGGTGAGAGGAAAAGGTGAAGGGAAACATCTCAGTAATGAATGTATTGTTATTATTTAGATTAAGGTTTAATATTAGGAATGAGATTTTAATAAATTATGAATCTAAAAGTGTTTAGAATCGGAATCATACCTAAGCATTGTATATTGTTGTCGTAAGTAATCAAAAATCACGAACCACAACCAGATTAGAATGTTACTTTACAACTAGCAAATCTTTCACTATTTAACAAGTTCCCCTCCGACTTTTGTTTAGGGTAATGGCAGTGCCAAATGGATAGTAACAGAGTCCTTTAAGTCGCACTTCGGAAAATAAAAGGAGAGAGATGACGGCTATGAAAAATAAAATATGTTAACCATAAAACGTTTTTATCTTCTGTTGAAATAAATATAAAAATTTAAAGCATTAATCATAGAGGAAATGTGAAAATGAAAGTTGAAAAAAAATGTGAGTGGAAAATAATTAATGAAAGTTGAAAAATAATTAATAGATGATATTAAATATTTTTCAATGTTTAATAGAAAAATACAAAAATTTAAATACTTACGTCACACATAATAAAAGTTTAATTAATAATAACACATATCTCGTCATAAATAATAATCATATATTAATTATAATGTAAATATAATTTAAATATACATACCTTTAGATTTTTTCTATAATTATTATTTTTAATTTACTATCATTATTATTATTAGCCTAGTACTATTATTATATTAGTATATTACTTAAGATAATAAAAATAATATTAATAATAGATGGAGGTGAAGATGATGACATCTAAATAAATAAATTGAGAAAATAAAAATAAATAAATGGGAAATTTGAGTACGTATCAAGTAGTTTGGTTGAATAAAAAACAGGTAAGAAATATGATAGATTTATTTATTCTTAATTTCATTAGAAACAATAATGTTATTGTAAAAATTTGGATTACACCATTGTAAGGAACTTAATATTTTGCAACTAATATTGATACTATCAAATAAAATGAATACGATAAGAGAAAATTTAGGTTTTGAGAATTGGAATGGTGTATGGAGAAACTGAATTAATAAATGTGTAAGCCTAATATGGTTATTCTAATAAATGTGCCTTGATTTTTCAAAATACTTATTTTATCATTTTTAAAACAAATAATGTTATTTTTTGTTGTATAATTTCATTTTAAAGAAAGAAAAATTTATATTAAACTATTTTTATTATTTGTTTTTAAACATTTATTTCACATGAAGAAAAATTAATCTTTTCATCCAACATATTTATTTTAATTTTGAAATCATGTGTTCAATGATACTGTATATATCCTCCCAAATATACAATGAACGAATAACTTAAACCATATATTAATATTCTATATTTCTGAAGTGAAATTTATTTAAAAGTGTTTAATTAAAAATGTTTAATATATTTTTCAAATCTTAAATCATTGACGAACATACATAACCATATATAATTGTTATTTAATGTATAACTCACAATACACAGCCACAAAGTCATTTATCACTCACAAGTCACAAACAAACACTTCAACTTTTATATTTCTTTCTTTCATGTGTTGGTGTTTTCATTCTCTACACTCTATTTGTGTTTTAATCCATAATTTTATATTAAAATAATATACTTAAATTAAGTGTAATTAGAGTTCATTATAGTTTTTTTTATAACTTAACTTTTGACATTGGAAAGCATTATTATATATGAGACTTAGAAATTTGACACGTGAAGTTGGAATGTTGTGAAGTGCAGCATATATATGGATTGGCAATTGTTGACAAAATGCTGCAATTGTTTATTGAAGAAGACATTTCAAGATGATATGGTCGTGTTTTTTTTTTGTTGTGATTGGTGGTTGCAAGTGACCAGGAATTCATAGAGCGCAAAGTCAAAAAGTCACTCAATTTCAAATCATGGTTAGGTGTTTGCTGGTTCACAATGACAACACAACGTATTACTTCGCATTCGTTCGATTTGCGTTTACCTTTATATCCTTATTAAGGATCTCTTTACGAACATGAAGGTTCAATCTTTAAATCAATTCTTTTTATATCTTCATATTGTATTATTAAATTTGATATCTCAATCCAAATTTCTTAATTATTATAGTTATAAATTTTTATTAACATCAAAAAATATAAAATATGAAAATTGTCAACAAAATTTATAATACTATATGCCATTATATGTATTTCCCCCCCTCCCCGCCGCCTCGCGCCGCCCTGCCCCCCCCCCGGTGCGCGAGTGTAACACACAACACACACAAACAAATATATATATATATATATATATATATATATATATATATATATATATATATATATATATATATATATATTCATGATATTTACTCAGTTTTTAATTTTAATTTTTCAAATGAATTCATTTTATTTCATCAATCACTCATATCTTCATATATGCTAATCACACTAAATATGTCATTAGCTTTTTTATATTTAGTAGTTTGAAAAATGCTTAAATGTTTATTTCTTTTTCATGTTAAGAGGTGAATTTCTGTTTAGTATCCGGTTTTAAAAATGAAGACATGAACTTAACGTTGTTGCTATCAACTTAATGGAGAAGACCTTATTCATACATTTTTCATAACATAGGTATTCTATGTTTTCATTTTTAAAATCGGATACTAAACAAAAATTCAC